TTTGTCCCAGCCATGCCACTATTTCTACTGCCATCCACAGCTTTATTCCCAAGACTATACGATGAATTATTTGATGATGATGAGCCAGTGCTAAGTATTGTGCAAAACCAACATCATGGACCACCTGCAAAAAAGAGTCGGAAGGAACAGGGGTCCTCGCATGCAGTTAAAAAAGGTACCAAAAGACATGTGGATGAGGTGAGCGGAATGAATCTTCCTCTCTTCCCTTCTCTCTCTTCCATTACACATGGGTGGCTTCATTCGCAAGTATTTGTTGAATTGAGTCCTTTGAGGTGTTGACACAATTCCTGTCTCTGATTTTTATCGAAAAGGAGGGGTTAAAGCCACTAAAGACAGTGTTTAGCAATTTTTCAATACCATAATTCACAAATCCTGGGATATTGATGCGTTGAAAACGATATTGCGTCTGAACTGCGTGGAATAGTCAAGAGAAGAAATTTTCCAATTTTTCTATGAACATTGGCGCGCTTTAAACCATTAAAGGATAGCTTGCTTTGCTCACTAAAGAAGAACACGCCATCTTAAAAAGAAATGGCTAAGTTGGACGGGACGGATAACAGGAATTTATAGGGGAAAAGGTTTGGAAGCAATCTTCTCGCTTATCCCGAGGTATTTTCGTGTCTAACGCAAATAGGGACAAAAAACTCTTTGATCTACACAACTGCGTAGTAGATTAATCCAAGAGCAAGCTAGCAAGCAGCAAAGATTTTCGATTCGCTTAAGCATCTTGAGCTTCTTAATCAAATTAGACGTGTATTCCTAGCTCTGTCCTTTTCCGTGTTTCTATGACACAATAGTGCATGATAGTACTGTAGTTAATTACTGGTTGAAGCAGTTCCCAATATTACATCAAGGTTACTTGAAGTCATTAACAAAATCTGGCATTTCGCTCCTGATTAGTTGTATTTTGTTGAGAAAAACGAATTTCACTTAGTTAATGTCAAGTTAGAACTGTTTCTCGCAAATCTTGCACACTATTGGTCTCATTAGACGTGACTTCTGATATTCCTATAGCATTTTATGCGTTGTAACGTAATGTAATGTATTATCCTTTTGATATTATCCTTTTGGAAAGCCATCTTTCCTTCCTCCTACAAGATGCAAACTTTCTAGAAATATGCAATGAATTTATAAGTTAATAAATGCTGTTTCAGATTGTTGATAACGAAGACAGACTGAAAATCTGCCTGAATGTGGCGAACTACAAGCCAGAAGAGCTCAAAGTTGATCTTGATGGAAGAGTTTTGACCGTGGAAGGGAAGCAGGAGGTTAAAGACAAAAATGGCTATTCGATGAGGTAGAGAACTCTTTTTTTGTAGTAAGTAAAGATCCTTTAATTACAATTTTTCCTTGTTTAGAAGTTTTTCAAGGATGTGGGAACTACCCAAAAGCGTGAACCTGGATGAACTTAAGTCCAGCATAACCAACGATGGCCGTTTAG